TGTCACTAAACTTGTCACTGAATCTTTCAGCTTGTCTGATCCCAAGACAATTCGCTCACAACTTATATGGAATAATGCTAATCATTCACATGAGTTACTAATTGGGCTTTATTGAAAAGTGCCCCATTTGGGCTGCCTTTTGTTTCATTTCCTACAAATCAAATTGCCAAAGTACAGATCTGATTTTTGAAATGGCTTTTAAATTTGATTTTTAAAAAAGTGGTTGTGCATTTAGAAAGCGGTTGCTCTGCTCAGAAGGAGCAGCTGAGTAGGACTTTTGCACTCCTGGGATTTGTGGTGGAGTCTTCACTGTCTGACAGCTCCGTTCAAAAGCAGCTCGAGCTCTTGGCACTGGTCCTGGTGGTGGGGATGTGAGTTGCAAAGTCCCTGATTTTTCTGCGCACAGAAACATGGCCATAGACTGGAGGTTTCAGTTTCAGAGGTCAGCTTTGAAACTGTGGGCTCCCTGAAGTATCAAAAAAACTTGCAAGAATTCTGCACAAATCTTGAGCTGGAATTATTCCGAGTGCATGGAAAGGCAGTTTTTGTGTGCTCTGCTCGCCACTTACTTATCTACCACATTTCTTGGTGAGGTTTTTCCTGTATGAACCTGACCTTTCTTTAGGAGATGAGAAAGGAGTATTTTTACTTTGAGGAACAGAAAAAAAACAACTTGGAAATACACTATTCAATGTAAAACTTCCAGGGAAGAAATTCACCCTTTGCAGCTATACCTTGCCTGACAAGTACAGAGCAGCACACTGCTTAGATATGAACTGAGAAGAGCTAGGAACTACCAAGTGTTGCTGTAAAAAAAAAGGTGAAATACGTATTTGTCACAATCCAAGTGGAATTTACGTTACATACTTGGCTTGTTTTCGTACTGAATCTTTCCTTAGACAGCATTTCTTAGGTGACGACCAGGAACAGCAAAAGGGACTTGAAAGGGGTGTGCTCTGCTGAAGCTAATGAGTTTAGTAAAGTTCTCCACGTTTCTCATTTTATTTGAAATATTGCAAGACACTGCAGGTCACTAGATTTATGTTACAATTTTGGGGGTATACAGAAATGTCACCAGCATATGTATGATTTAATGACACTGTTGGTGACCGGTTGTACCTCAGACACAGCTTTTTTTGTTGCTTTCATAACTGTAGGTGAAGAAAATCGCTGTAGGTGAAGAAAATTACAGATGATATTGTGTAATTTGTGAGATTTTGTTGTATCCATCACATTTAAGATATTTATGTTTTGAAGGTGAGGAAACAGACCTTTCTAAGCAAACCACTATGTATGCTATATATTAAACTTTTCAAAACATTAGAACTGATACAGCTGAATTTAAGTTAATAAAAAAAAGTATAAATGCAGTCACATAATTAATGGGAATTTGCTCCCTGTTAGATATACGTTATCTCATCTGGTCAGTGTGTGAGGTGTGACACATTTGATTAGATTTCTTTAACACGTTTATGTCTGTGTGCTTACACATCTTGATGTGTAAAGGTTGGGAGAGATCAAATATAATGCACACAGAAAATACAGTTCGACTCCTTGCAGGTCTGGTTCACTACAGCTAAGTGATGCTGCCCCAGCTATTTAGCGTCCTTCATTAATTGTGAAGACTAAAGCATTAGGTGGTGGAGTGTGTTAAGAAAACAGCATTTAATGAAGATTTGATTGTTATCACCAGCATTAGAACTGGGGCTAATGCTAATGAAATCTCACCCATGTTGCAGCATCCCTGTTGAGCCTTATCTCCGTTGCGGCGCTGCATTTGAATGCCTAACGTAGCCTCAGGCGGGTCAGCCTTTTAGGAAGGGTTGCCTTCACACTAAGAGGCTTTCCTTGTACGAATCGTTCCATTAAGATTATGCATTACTTTTGACCTTGTTTGAGAGTGGATGTGGTGTGAATTTACTACTTCTCCCATCTAATTCATCCCATTTATTTTATTGCATGTTTGATGCCCTTTTTCTCCCTTCTTTTTTTTGTTTTAGTGATACAAATGAGGTAGACATCCCTCCAAACACCCGTGTAGGAACAAAACGCTATATGCCTCCTGAGGTGCTGGATGAAAGCCTGAATAGAAATCACTTTCAGTCGTACATCATGGCTGATATGTACAGTTTTGGACTCATCCTTTGGGAGATAGCAAGGAGATGTGTTTCAGGAGGTAAAGAGCTGGGAGATCGCTTTTAATTGTGCCAGTGAACCCCATTTATAACACAAATCTTTAATTACATCCTTTTCCCTGAGTAATTGTTTTACTGTAATAAACAAATTTGGATAAACCATATAGGTGACTCTCTAATATCTCTTTTCGTATTGAAACTTATTTTTAAGCATCAGTCAGTGCTATTTCAGCAGCGAAGATTTAGACTGTATTTTAATGGCTCATTTGAAGGCAGCGGATGCCTGCACTGAAGAAGTAATAACGAAACTCATTTGGGAGCCTTTTCCAATGACAACACTTTTTTTTTTTTGCAAACTGGGGCTATTCAGCTATTTCAGCAGAAAAAAACCATAGTGATTTCTTTGTTTTGTTAAAATTAAATAGAATGAAGAGGACAAACAACTTGGGGGTATTCCATGCCACTGTTTAAAATAAATAATCTATTTACAAGACACGAAAAAAAAACCAGAGGGAAGTGGAACTTATTGCATTGCTGTCATACCAGCGATGTGCCTCATTTCCTTCTGGTATCAGGTGTTCAAGCATGAGGATAGCAAAGATAAAGCAATGCCACCAGCTGCAGTCTCGGGGCATAGATCCATCCTTGTACGCATAGGCTATGTGTGCTTTCTGCATGTAGAGCTCAGTGCAGTACAAAAATGATGGGTGTTATTACCTCTATTTTGCCACTGAGGAAAGTTAAATGCAGAGAAATGGCTTGGCAGCGGTTTTGTGCCAGATTGGTGGCAAGTAAGAGCAGAACATGTCTCTCTCGGGTCTGCGCTACCTTCACCAGACTTTATGGGTCTTTAAAGCCTGTGGTTTTGTGCTGAATGCTCGCTCCATGCTTACCCAGGAGGAGCTGAATTTCGCTGATGAGCAAAGTGATCCCTGTGTTTACAAACTGTACTGCAGTGATGAGATGTAAAATCTGTAATGTTGTCTTTGTGCACAGAAAATGTCATGTTCTGAAAAGGCACAGAAATGCCCTTTAATATATACCAGGTCTGCTAATAAGAAGGTGACCTAATTTAAGGTTAGTTCTCTGCCAAATTACACTGATACGGGTCCTACCCTAATAGTTCTTTCTGTGATAACTTACTGGGGGTTGCTGATCTGGATAGTGGTAGAAACTGTCTCATTTAGGAAATAACTATGCTTTTGGATTAAGATACCTGGCCAGTCTTTACATGGCAATGGTTACACTGGAATTTGACTATGGCAAACTTCTATGACAGGGAAGTCCTTTTTAAGGAGAAGTATATCTAATTGTTAAACACTGTAGTCAATCTGTTATGAAATGAGAGGGGAAGAGGGTTGTGTAAAGTGTCTTCAGCAAGTGATGGGCAACTACTTGCTTTTTTCAGGAATAGTTGAGGAATACCAGCTTCCGTACCACGACCTTGTGCCCAGCGACCCCTCGTATGAGGACATGCGGGAGATCGTGTGCATCAAGCGACTACGCCCTTCGTTTCCCAACAGATGGAGCAGTGATGAGGTATCCTCCCTGTTAAAATGCAGCCTTTCTTTTTAATCAGAGTGAGTGAGTGAGATTGACCCAATTTACTTCATTTTGAGTCAGGAGGAGCTTTACGACTGGTGCTAGCACCAGTCACGGTGTAACAGGGCTCGGGAAGGACCTCGAACTCCTCAGGTACCCCTGCTGAAGGTGTTCAGAGCCCTAGGAGCTGTAGCATACGATATTAGCAAGCAGGCTCCTCGTGTGGTGTCTACCAGATCCCACAGCAATAGCAGGCTGTGCTCAGACCGTCTCAGTCTCTCTGTTTTCCTCTTGCACTCATTTTGCTTTCTGCACCCAGCATTAATAGCATTAAATCAGTGCTAGCCAAAATTACAGAAAGAGAAATTATTTTATAGTGTACAGTGCAGTGGCAATGTAGCTGGTGCACTGACAGCTCCTTCAGCACGTGCTGGTATGTGGGCTGTAATGCCAACCTTTTTCCTTTTTTTAAAAGAAGAAATAAACAAACAAACAAACAAACCAAAAAAAAGCAAATATCTCCTGTCACTTTGAAATGAAACGAGCATACAGCTTTCCTGTGATCATAGGTGTGCAGGGTTGGAAACACAATTTTATCATGATTGTATGCTAACATTATTGCAGAATATTAATTTTCTCTATTATGGTATTGAGATGCAATAGTGCACACCATCGTAGCCCTCCTGCACCAAGGAGCAATGATCATTCACTGTTTTACATCTTTGCATTTTAGCAAAGAGGGCTCCAGGTTTGGACTTTTGGAAGAGATGTAGGGTCTAGAAAATGTTTTCCAAAGTAAACAAGGAGGTGAGAGGGCTGGAGGAGAATCTGAACTCTCCCTGCCAAGCATCTCTAATGAAGCAGAAATGTGCTTGTGGGATCAGAGGCAAACAGTTGAGGTACCGCAGACAAACCCGCTGGCTACTCTCGAGATGCTATGGAGGAGAGGTCATTAATCATGTTAATTGGACCAGTTTAATGCTGTAAAGTCTTCTACAGCCACAGGAAAAAATAAAACACCTTCCTTGGGAGGCTCAAGGACTTGTGCAACAGCCAGTGTGGGAAGATCTAACAGAGAATCACCTGCCTCATGCTCTTCCTAACCAAATCCCTCAAAGCCTTCAAACTGGGAGTGGAAACACTTGAAGAAGTGCTGTTAGCATTGATCCCGAGAAGGGCTTTTGTGTGGCTGTACACCACATGTGCTTGGTCTGTTAACATGTGTATTGAGGACTGGGGAGGCTCCTTGAAATAACTGATCTTGATCAACCGGTTAGTGCCATCGGTAATCCCACTTCAGGAATTGTAGTGATGAGAGGCACACTCGTTAGTGCATAAAACCCCGTGTATCAGCAGAACACATTTATAAAAATCTACATTAATCTGGAAAGCATTGGACTGATCTCCATCAAAATGGAGAACATGGACGGGATGAAAAGCATCTCTTCTCCTGTTGTAGCAGGCAGTGTGAATCCGTAGGCTGATGGGGTCATCACCCAGCTGTGGTGGCTTATGGAGGGTGCTTTTATGTTTGGAAGCAGGCAGAGTAGGGATGTTTGCCCCTTTTCCAGGACGGCAAAGGCAACACTGAGATTCTGTCAGCCAAGAGAGGTGTTGCTGGGAGGCAGAGGAGGGTCTGGCTATGTTTTGGAAGTGAGCAGTGGTTGGAGCAGGACAGGGCAGAGCCAGGTGCTCGCAGAAGGCTTTCCCATGGGCTCACACTGTGCTGTAGCCCAGGGGCCGGTCACTGGCTGAGGAAAATGAATTTGGCTGAATTTGTACCGCAAAGGGCTCGCTGTACAAAGCCACACTTGTGTGGGTCAGCCTCAGGGAGATTTTCTGCATGGATCTGGGGACGAGAGACAAGAAAAGTGCTTTTGTGGAGCGTACAGCCAAATCTAGACTACTACTTGTCATAAATTATAAGAGTAATTGCTATGTTTTGAGAACTCTCCTTAATATACAGAAAATAATAGCTCTTGAAAAGTAATTTTTTTTTGGCTACCCTTAGAAAGGACCTTTGTCCTTCAGTTTTTTGGCACTGCTGCCATTCTCCTTTCCACTGACCCAGGTGGGACTTTCTCTCCCGTTTCTCTCCGCAGTGCCTACGGCAGATGGGGAAGCTGATGATGGAGTGCTGGGCTCACAACCCCGCCTCCCGCCTCACGGCCCTGCGGGTCAAGAAGACACTTGCCAAAATGTCAGAGTCGCAGGACATTAAACTCTGACTCGGCCAGAGGCAGCTCTTCTCATGAAGGCCCACGGAAAAGGACTTTCTCGTGCGGGCAGAAGTCCCGAAGAGGCATTGAAAGTCTTCGCTAACAAGTACCGCGAATGCAGTCATGTTTAAGGTCAGCTGTAAGTTTGTTTGACAGCTTTTGACGAGGTAATCCCTCACCGAATCAGCTGAATTTTGACATACAAGTTTGGAAGAGGTTTGTCTGCCCTTGTTTACACGGGGAAATACAGTTTTAGTAACTGGTTTAAGATTATGCATGTTGCTTTCCATGAAAGCCACTTATTATTTTATTATTATTATTGTTATTATTATTATTTTGATTGTTTAAAAAGATACTGCTTTAAATTTTATGAAAATAAAACTTTTGGTTAGAAGTAAAAAAGATGTATATTGTTACATTAAAAAAAATAATTTGAAGAAAACTGTGCTGAAAATGAAAGCAAAGCGACTTTTTCATTTATAAAGAGACTATTGCACTCCAGCATTTAAAAGAAAAAATAGAGAGGGTCTGTGCAAGGGCACAGACTGTGATGGGGTCTGTGATGGAGCCCAATGACATCCCTGCCATCATTGGCACTGGCAGAGGCCTGTCCCGGGGGAGGTGCTTTGTTTAAAATAACTGGGAACCTTATGAATACGGTTTGGTTTGACTTGACTTGCTTGTGTGAAGAAGCTCTTCACGTTTCCAAGGAAATCTGATGGGGGTAGTGCCAGGATGATGGTAAAGAAGTGCCCCTTTCCTTGGCTTCTTTTTTTTCTTTCTTTCTTTTTCCCCACTGCAAAATAAAGTATTTTGTGTGTGAGTGGGAATGAGGTACGCATCTGGATCTGCTGGTGAATCTGAAACTGCTGTGACCTACGTGCACAACCACTGCGTGAGAGGGAGCTCTTTGTGAGGAAAATTTATTGACTTGCTCTTTCATCTGTGTAAAAGTGAGGTGTCCATCTACAGCCACAGTTGGAAAGAAAAATATAATCTGTGTTCCTTTTTTTAAGGGAAAGTGAAAATCTCAAAAATCCCCATTTTTGGGGTGGTAATGATTTTTCTTTCAGCATAAGGAGTCCTGGTGCCTCCTGGCCACAGTAGGATGCCAGCAACCCTGGGACTTTGGTGGGCAGCAGTGGGCAGATGCCTCCAGCGCTTTTCCACTGCAGTGCAAGGCACCACAAACCCAAAAATTTGGCTCAAGCTTCATCTGCCTTGGTGTTTTGGGTGGCCTTCCAGCAGCCTCCATGCAGAGCAGTGACGGGCTCTGCCACCACGCTGGGGCTGCGCAGCATCCTGGTTCCCAGCAAGAGGAGCGTTTGGAGGAGAACAACGAGAAATGTATTTACTGCAGCCCCCTTCC